GGCTTAAGAAGCTTAACGATTTTGAACCTCAGCTTCTTTAATATCAACGTTTTGTCAAGAGATACTTTCAGAGGCTTGAAATCTCTTTCTGTTCTTAACATAAGCCATAATACATTATCGTCCGTGGCAGACGGTGCATTCAGGGGTCTGCCAAGACTTAAGGTTTTAGATATGTCAGGTAACGTAGACGCTCTGGTAGAACCTGAGGCATTTGTAGAGCTTAGTGCAGAGACGCTGAAGTCCGATCAATTTGGCATTTGTTGCCTGGCTCAGCGTAAGGGTAAAGTTGACGTTTGTTTTCCACCAAAAGATGAGTTCTCTTCCTGTTCTGACCTGTTGCAAAACCAATTTCTGCAGGTGTCTGTTTGGGTTATGGGAATTTTAGCATGCTTGGGTAATGCAGTCGTGCTTATATATTGGCTACGAAATAGAGACTCTGCTGCCTCTAGTATATTGGTCATGAATCTTGCCTTGTCGGACCTCTTGATGGGGGTGTACCTTGTTATTATAGCTGCAGCTGACACTAGCTATCGTGGCCTTTACGCCTCTCAAGCTGCCAAATGGATGTCTAGTGGTGTGTGTAAATTTGCAGGGTTTCTGTCCATGGTTTCCAGTCAAATGTCTGTGGTGATCTTAGTTTTGATCACGACAGATAGACTGATGTCCATCGTTTATGCCATGAAGATTCAAAAGATGGACACGAAGACGAGCTTATTAATTACTGGTCTCGGTTGGGTCGCAGTTGTTATGTTAAGTACAGTTCCTCTTATTGAAGTGAGTTACTTCAAAGATTTTTACGGACACAACTCGGTCTGTTTGCCGTTCACGTTGAGCAGGGTTGAGTTCGGGGGCAGGGAATACGCCTACGTAATATTCGTATTTTTCAATTTTACTGCTTTTCTTTTCATCTCTTTTGCCTATGTTGCCATTCTGAGACATGTCTATCAATCGAGGAAGCAATCTGGGAGAGAGGAGACACATAGGGATGTGCAGTTATTAAAAAGGGTATCTCTGATTTTGATAACCGACTTTTTGTGCTGGATTCCAGTTACGGTGCTGGGAATTTTGAGCATGGCAGGCGTCCCAATTAGTCCTGAGGTCTCAAGTTGGGTCGCAGTATTTATCTTACCTATCAACTCCGCCATGAACCCGATATTATACACTCTAGCCAATATCAAGATATGTGGGAAGCTAAAGAAGAAAAAACGAGAAACCCAGGTACAAACCAAGAACACTTATCAGAAACATGCTTGTGAGAACACTGTGTGAGTCATTCCGAAGAATATGCTCACCTGATTCACTTGATAGTATATACCATCTTTCCGGACTGGAGCCTCGGTTTAAGGATTAGTCTTTGTGATATGATAAGGCACAGTGAATGCCTATCCCGGGAAGTTGATTTGGGTTTGCTGAAATCATAATGGAAAAAGGAATCACAATTCATCAGCCATCTCATACGATACATGGTGAGCAATCAGATTTTATTACTTTCACGAATGAACACCCTCCACCCCCCCCCCTCAAAAAAAAAAAAAAAAAAAAAAAAAAAAAATCAGTGGAACCGAATTGTGTTAGAAAAGATTGTGCTGAATTTAAAACGTTGTCATCAGGTTATTGTGCAAACTTGTCATCTTGTAAACCATAAGAAAAATTTGTTGTTCTTTTTATACTTTTACTGCTGTTTTTGTGTCTGGATCATTTGTTCCTGACATAAAATTCGGTCTTTGATTCTTTTCTGTCGGAACTGTGTATTTAGTTTCCATCTTATATTATTCTTTTTGTGTATTTTCATCAAACTGTATAAAGCATCTTAGTGGCCTAGCACTACTACAAGTGCCGCCACTGACGTATTACTGCTGAGGAACACAGCTATTTCTCTAACCTCAAGGTAACTTCTATGTACAGACTTGACATTTAATATGGAATATTTCAGTTTTAAAGGTATACCTAGGTAAAAATGCCTTCTTTTTTCAAAAAACTCAGATCTCACATAAGATATCTGACTGGAGAAGTATGAAGTCAGGTGTGTCGCTACCAATTAACTGACTACCAAGTCTGTTGCACTGCTGCATTGTGTAATATGCAGTGATTTAATTGTCTGGTGCTCCTTTGGGCTGGTCAAAGCTTGGCTTTGATGAAGCATGGTTCTGTCAAAAAAGTATCCATATGTCGGCAACTACTGTATCGAAGAATTTGAAATTTTGCATGCAAACGGTCTGTTTTGCAGTGCGTAAAATGAATTAAGCAGTGTTTTTTAAAATTGTTAAGCTGTGCCAGAATGGCGCGAAAAAGACAGACATTGCCAGACAGATTATTGTGTCAAACGGAATGGTCTGCACAGTTTTATAGGGTTATGCCCAGACTGATGCACCTACACAGAGACCACGCCCAATGTATCGACATCTTACCACCAGGTTACAGGACTCACTGTCCTTCAGGATATGCTGCTGCAATTAAACCGAAACCATCCACTCCGTTTTGAATGAGGGGCAAATTGTCACCAAAACGCGTTTTTTCAAGGCTCTTAGCGAACACCAAAATGGTTTCAGCAGGTTAGGATATCAGGCGACCTCTGAGGAAGCCACTGTAAACAGCTAAACAGCGTAGTCTGTTTCTCTAATGAATTGGGGACCCTGACCATTTTTGGGTAGAACACTGAAATCGCGTGCCTTTCTTTATTGAATTCAGATTTCACCCGTACCGCTAAAATGGTCAAAACAGAGTTTACAGACATCCTGAAGAGGCCTACGACAAGACGTGTGCCACTTTTTAAGTGACTAGGGTCATTGGAAGCATCACTATTTGGAGTGGATACCACATTGGTGCCAAAACACTAATGGAAGTCATCGATGAAAACCTGAACCAGATCAAATAGAGGAATACTCTGGGAACCACTTGACCATCATTTGATAGGGGGCACCTTAGGAACAATTTTAGGTTGCACGATGAGATTGCCGGTTCACACAGAGCACTTTTAATAGCAGATAACTTACAGAAACAAGGGAATGAGCAGCTACCTTGGTCATCAAAATCGCCGTATTTGAACCACAGAGACAATATGTGGCTAGGTCATTACTCGCTGTATCAACGGCCTGTATGTCCTACAACAAAACTGAACCAAACTGGCCAAGTCTTAACCGTTGCCTGAAATTTTATTCCAGATTAAACTCTAAAACCCATTCTAAGGAATGCCTTGTCGCTTGAAAGCTCTGGTAGCGGCAAGATGAGGTCCGACGTAACAGCGACCATTGCTGTGACTAGACACCCACATGAGGGGCCTTTGTGGGGCGTGTAACTCTTTTAAAGACGATAATTAGGAAAATATGGAGATCGAAAATATCGCTTTCAATGGTTGTCGTATGACTTAAAATAGGCAATGTATTTTTGTTTGCTTCACTGGCGAATTCAATTAATGGACTCATGTTACAATAACATCCAACAGATTATCAAAAGTTTTTAAAACACGATTTTAATCCTTATTTTCATTTATCAGTCAGCAAAATAGGAAAAAAACTGATTATGATTTGGAAAAAATATTCCATATTAAATGTCAAGTCTGTATATATCGAGAAGATGAGTAAGTAATTTCCCAGTTCGAACGTGACACGGTATCTCTTCTCGAACACTTGTGAGTTAAACTCTATTTCCGTGATCACAAATCAAGAATCGGGAATTAATCTAAGGCTATTTTGATGAGTAATGGCCCGTTATTACGAATTGATACCACTAATTAATTCCTAAAGCTTGATATTGTACGAGTATGTATTAATAAAATCATTTTGCTATTAAATGCAGTCAGCCAAACAGTAATTCTTTGTTATCTCACTGCTAGCTTTCACGTTTTTGACGTTCGATTATTTGGCCGTCAATCAAGTGAATTTGATTGACAGAATATAAAATTTCAAACTTTATGTACGGTTGGACAGCTATTAGTAGGTAAGGTGAGCTGAATACTAGGTTTTGATCTTTTTTATTGTTCTAAAGGCTCTCAGAGGTTTTTCATATGCGTCATCCTTCCCTGTTTAACAAAACGAATTTTTTCAAACCATAAAAGGTTACTTTATCTCTGACATTTGCCACGAGCGCCGTGCGATGAAATCGTACATGCCTACTATTTTAGTCACTTAGACGTATAATATAGCATGTTTTCTCGTAAAACAATCAGTGAAACTGAGAAAGTAAGTATTCTTGACACTTTTTCTTAACAGATCGAGAGATTTAGTTTGAATCGGGAGGTGCGTCCCCAGTGTTGACAGGCACGCAAATATTCAGTGGTTGTTTGTTTACACCACGTAAACGTCGTGACGTTCTGCCCAAAGCCACACCGTTAGCAGAGAATGACCCAAAGAAATGCACTCGTTTTGCTTTATGTAATGATCACAAATGAACCCTACATACATGTAATTCCAAGTGCGGCGGAATTAAAGAAAACAACGACATTATGAACATAAAGCAACTCATTTACTGATCGTATCACAACATGTAACATCCGTACAGATAATATCACTACATCTATCAGTGCTCTTTTCCGTGTAAAATATCTTCCTTATCCTACCTATTTAACATTATGCGTGCACTATTTGTTTGGAAATTATATGTTAAATGTAGATATTTCAGGCTTACGCATAAGTTAAACTCATTAATCAACACTATTCAATGTTCATCACTTATCCGCTTCATTTCTTTTTATTAATGGGACCTTCATCAGCCAAATTTCGAACATCATGCTTGAGTTTGTTCTATTCCTTTAACTGACATGCCTTATTACTTAAATTGGCTTAGATTAAGGAGACATACTTTATACATGTGTGTGAAGATCAAACGTGAAGTGATGACATTGAGTTACTATTATATAAGAAAATCTGTGTATCTAGTGTCTAAAATATGCATTAAAAATAATGAAGAAAAAAGTTAAAAGAAGCCTACACACTTATTTGACTTATATTGCCTATAAATAATGCTGTTTGTTTAAAATTCAACACATGCAAAAAAAAAAAAAAAAACACTGAAATATTGATAAATCACATTTCTATAGAAATGGACATGGTGTAGATGAGGACGGATATGCACATAAAAATAGTGCTTTAAGTTTATAAACAAAATATAAATGCATATATCAAGTATAAAGTCCAGTTGTTAGTGACATTAATTGGACGGAATAAAAGCAGTCAAACAGTAACAATACTGTAACATGTATAAGTTAAATGCATTAAAACAATGACTGTATTGCATAAATTCAAGAAAAATAGTTTAGTCTTATTTTCTTTGGGAATGTCATACATCTTATACATGTAGATAACACAGCAAAGAGAGAGTTGAAAAAATCTGTAAATGACAATGTTCAAAAATTCTTATATCACAGCTATATAAATTGAAATTAATAAATATCACTGTTTTTGGAACATCTTAATAAATATGGAATGTTCAATCAAAAAACATTTGCCACTAAAATAAAAAGCTTTCAACATGTGTATATTTACCCTCAGCTGAATGTTAACTATTAAGTACTCTAAAACAGAGACCAACCAAGACACATGTAGTTCTTGTCCTAAATGCTACTGCCAAATACTGCTACCAAATTGTGAACATAATATATATATCACCTCTTACATATATTTATAAGTGATGGAAAGAGATCAGCCTTAAAAAAAGGAGGAAAACTCTCTCCCTCCAGAAACGTTCCCTTTCTTAAAATTTTATTCGAACTCCAGCAGCTTTCAAATTTCTTGTTTGAATAATGAGGTGATTCTCTAGAGGGAGGGAACTTTCTATCCCTGATTTGTGGTTGAAAATTACAATCAAGCAGAAATATCACAACATTAATTGCATAAGCACACTTGTAAAATCAAAATTTTGGGAATAATGAATAGTTCAACATCAGAACCTCTTGCTTAAATAATTATACTTCCACAAAGTCACATCCTCATATGACACTGACAAAATCAGCCAGGCAACAACTGTTGTTGACTTTGAGGATTATATAATTACATTATAACACACGCTTTGCTCTTCTTCTCCCCATTTCCTTCACTTTGTGCCTGGGCAGGTGCCTGGGCAGGTGCCTGAGCAGGTGCCTGACCATTACTCTCCTGGACCACAGAATTGTTCTTTTTGGCCTTTGCATATGATCCAGCAACTCTAGCAGCAGCTTGTGTAGCTTTCATCTTTCTGGTAGATTTTTTCTTTTCCAATTTCTTTGGTGAGGCGGGACCATTGATGGTCACATGCTCTGCAATTCTAGGAGCTAGAAGTACAGAAAGTCAAAATTAGATCAATTTTGGCTTCTAAAGAATATTTCTTGATACACATTCATTGCTTTATTTCAGGGATGACTGATTACAATTCCCATAGCATGAAGGTTTAGGTGCCACTCATATCAATGGGTCTGTAACTGCATAATAAATGTTGAAACACATGAGTATGTTCAGAATCGAGGTAATACTCCTGATATTAGTGAACAGAGAAGAAGTATTATATAAAATATCCCCTACTACCACAAGAAAGTTTTATTGCTGAATTGATCATATCTGATATATTCAAGTCAGTAGAGTGTCTGCTTGAAACAGTCATTAACTATAAAGTATAGATTGAAAGGATCTATTAAGAAAGTCTTTACTTCAGTATATCTACACTGTAAATCCTCTCTAGGTATTGTGTGTCATATGTAATGAAAAACACAAAGTAAAGCTAATTTAAAAAATGATTAAGCAATGACAATGCATCAGATGGATGTTGTTTACCTTGCAGGTCTTGGGCAGTGATTTTCAGGGCGCTGGCTGCATCTTGCCCCTGGGTCTGTCTGGCCTGTACAGTTTGCTCATATTTAGAATCCGCTGAAATTAGACCACTTAGATGTTCTATACATATTTTCTTTACTTTTTTTAAGCATCAGTTAAACTGCAAATATGTTTGTGACTTTGATATATGTAGTATACTGTCGAGATGCAGATGATTGCCACGTCTCATACAAATGTGTTACACATACAACTGTGTATTTAGCCTACCAAATTAATTAATGAATCATTTTAAAATAACATTTAATGTATACTTTTTGAAAGTACAACAAAGCAGATCTCTTTGTAAGGCAAATATAATTATGGCGCTGTATCTTCTAATAATTTTTTTTAAAAATAATTTTCTTTAAGAACACTAAAATATTGTTGTAATTGTATCATTTGAACATGGTAGAATACAACAATTTTCAACACACCTTTGATGAGCTGCATTGTTTCTTCATCACATTTAGAGTATGGCAACACAGCATCTTTAGCTGTGGCCAGGTCGCTGTTCAAGATAGTAATACGAGGTCCGTCTGCATGCTTGGGACACAACCAGCGGATTTTACCACTGGGCAACAAACATCTAAAACAAGACATGATATTATTTAAGCATCAGTAGAAATATCCTATGTGAGGATAAACTTTATGGAAAATATATACATTTAAACATAATAATCTTAATTTAAAGACTTGTTTGAATAAGCACTTCAATCACCAAATAAAGCTGTACAGAATTTTAAGTAAACTATAACAATTATACACAATTTTCAGTACTCTTCCCCCAAAGAAAACCTAGAGAATTCTGAGCATTTTCTCCTGCTGCTGTTTCCCATTATCTGCGGTACCAACCTTTTCAAATGTCCTCTAACTTTATGCACATCATTCTTCATCACCTCTTCACGGAAATGTTTGAAGGCCTTGGCAAACCCGGAAGTGTCTGTTCCTTTCTGTAATTATACAGATAAATAACAGACACATTTAAATTTATTACTCATACTACTAGTATATGATACAAAACTTACAATGTGAAAAAAATCTAATGCCATTACATGCAAGTCATCAGAATCATGTCTGATTGAATAAATTAAATTCTAATCTTTAAGGGAAATTTGGGAAGAGTGATGCAGCATTGTCAAACCATATAGGTCATAATTCAAATATCTTCCGTCTGTCCATGGTTAAAAATCTCATAAATGGTTTCATTTTTATGTGATCAACATTTCCTATTCTCCATATGTGGATCGACCTGGTTTAGTAACAGCCAAGTGTGCAAAACCAGAAGACAGAAAGGAAATCCTCAGCCAAAAAACTGCTAAAAGACTCGAGGAACTTCAAAAATGTGTACATAGAAAAATTTACAACTGCAGAGCAATGTAGAACAATTAACAATATCCGTGCAATAGTGAATCACATTAACTCAGGGAAGGGGAAGCTCCACATTAGAGGGACCTCCGTGATGCTTGACCACAATGATAGTAGGACAGGCAGGCAGTGACAGTGATGGTAAGACAGGCAGGCAGAATGACAACGATAGCAGTACAGGCAGGCAGAGCGACAATGATAACAGGACAGGCAGGAAGAAGAGTAACAACGGAAGACAAACAAGGACTTCCAATCAGGATAAACATACAATTCTGTCAACCATAATAGAACAAGAGTTGAAAATTATAGGATTAGCAGAGACACAGTTGTGCTCCAGTAAATGTGACAAGATCGATATCAAAGGCTATATTTGGTTAGGCCAGGAAAGACCAATGCACAACAGGGCTAGGTCTGGCTCTGGAGGGGGAGGATTTTTAATTATCAAGAAACTTATAAATGACTTTAATGTTACTGTACTAGATGACTCTTCTGATGGCATCCTTTGTATACAAGCGCCTACCAGCTCAATGTCTCTGACAAACTCTAGTGCCTCGTCCGAGCCCCCCATACAGGTCAGGTTGACCCCACTGTGTTTGAGAACGGCATTCATTCTGGCCAGATAGGCTGCCGAGTCGGCTATAAACTTCTCCTGGTCTTTCAGCTTCAGGAGAATAGGTGGCCCACTCAAGTGCCAGCCCTGAAAATTAGACAAAAATTTTTAATAATTTGAACTATGAAGGTGGACTTTTAAATCTTATTGTGCATGTTAGACATAAAGAAACCTACACAATAAATTTTATTATAATCCCATCCTTTACAAGATATTTTGTACAATAGTGTCCTTTATCATTTAAATGTATAATCTTACATACAAAGAAACCATAATACTGCTATGACAGTTCAAAGCTAAGTTTTCCAACAAAATATCATGGTATTTAAATTGTACCTTTATTCAAACTTTCACACTAGTCTGAGCTGGTGAAAGTGTAGTGATAAATACCCTATTTGATTCAGTTACAGAAATCTACAAATTATACTCAACTTTCTGCTGCATAAAATTACACCTAAAGGGGAGGGGAAAAAAGCAGACCTATGATTTTATTGTATTGGAACTTATTCTGGAAAAATGTAAATAAATAAATCCCATGTCTTTACCTGTTCATATTCACAGAGAATCTTGCATACCAACTTGCGGTGCTGACCAGTTTGATCATCGGGATCACTGACAGGTGGCTGAAGATTGACCATACTCTTCTTGATGGCCTCAGCATGACCTTCAATTCCAACAACATAATTTAGAAACTTGTAATCAATAAGTGAAGAAAATGAAATAAATTATGTCCCCTTAATATAAAATGTTCACAAATACATAATATATAATTATCTTTTGAAAAGAATTAAAGTACCCTGCTAGAAACATTGGAGTTTTTGGAAGGTTAATTATCTAATTAACAAGTTTTTAATCATCACAATCACTTGGCATTAAAGAATTTTTATCACCACGCATCATAAAATTTCGCATCATCTCTCTTTCTTTTCAGTTAACTCACTGAACCACATGTAATAAAAGAAGCAAATCAAGGCAAATTCATCAAAAAAACAGAAAAAAAAGTTTCAAAATTAAAAAAAAAAGTGTACTGAGTACAAAACTGTACCTTCCAGGTCCACGTAGTCCAGTACGCACAGTTTTGGGTACGGCATGATATCAAGATTGATGGCATGGTGGACTTCAATAAACCTCATCAGCTTTCTCTGGATAAGCTCAAACTCCTCCTAAGAAAGTAGATATAATGACAATTATCATGATGATGTTAATGATGATCATTGCCAGAAACACAGGACAGAGGTCAAGGTCTCATTTCAAAGAAGAAGGAAATAATGAAGTATATTGGGCAGACTGAACAATGAGTAAGAAATGGCTCAAATATTAGACAGACAGGCACTACAATTAAGATCTATCCTGGATTAAAGTAGCCTAAAAATAGTCAGACTCAGTCTCAAAACATGGAGCAACTTCTAAGTACTAAGTTGTTTTTTAAAGTGAGGCTCAGGTGGTATATACATGTCCAGGTAAAAGATGTAAAGTAAGATCTAGAAATACCTGTTACAGAAGGAAAGAAGGCTACAGCTAGTAGTGTCTGTTGAAAGGAAAATGAGAAAGAGGACAGTTGCTAGTGGCTCCACCTTGGGAGGATATCAAAAACTATCATACTTATTTTTTTTTAACAAATTTTAATTTTAATTCATTTTAATTTTAATTAATCTTAAAAGATCATTAGATTCACTCATAAAAATATAAGGTTTTTGTTTACTTTATCAACATATAATTCATTATCTTTAAAAAAGATCCAAGTGCTGTGTAATTTTGATTCCATAAGAATAAGAATTTTACCATGTTATGGATACAGTCACTGCAGTGCATGTACTGGCGCCATTTCATGTGAATGTGGCATTTCATAAACATTTCAAACTTCAAAATTGTAAAATGAAACATTTATTTTATCAGGTTTTGAACCAACCCCTAAAATGTTGCAATTTTATCACCTGGAAAGAGACAATTTTCTCTTGTTTCTGTCGTTTCTCCGCTGCTGGTGTGTGATCTGCAGCTTCCGCAGGTTGGGCCTTGACAGCTTCTTTCTTTTCCATTTCCTCCTTCACCTGAGCAATTCTGTCTTGTATTTCCTTCAGGAACATTGGTGGATATTCCTTCAGATTCTGCTGAAAGTTGAACTTGGGGGGAAGAGTATTCTTCTTACTTGTGTCAGAGGCCCGTCCACGCATTAGAAGGATGCTGACCTAAGATATCAAACAGATCAACTTTAATAACCTCCCTAAATACTGTACTCATCACATCAAAATATGTATGTTGCCAAAATTTATATTTTTCAGACATTGTGTATCTTACTGATAAATAAAAGTCAAGAATGTTGTCTTAAAAAGCAATAGAGAAGTAGTTAACATATACAAAGCATGATAAATAAGGATTGTTATGCAAAGGACTTAAATTCAACTAAGAGAAAACCATAAAAAAAAACAGCCATGGAGAAAAAACTACTTATAAAAATGTTGAATGAGACTTCTCTCTTTACAAACCTCACTGGTTTCCCATTCGCTCTTAGTTCCCACCACACACGCCACGAGAGGCTTGCGTAAGTTCAGCATGGCGAATCTTAGCTCCATCATGCAGTTAGGCGAGTTGGCATACTAAAATAGATATTAGTTCTATTCAATATAAATATCTGGGGGTGGGGGTGAGGGTAGAAAACAGATCTAAGCTTCAACAAGAACTATGGGGAGTTTGCTCGCTGAAATAAATAAATTAAATTCTAGGTTCTACATCCTACAAAGCAGTCTAAACAAATGCAGTATATTGGGTATTATGCATACATACAGTTCACTGAAGGTTCTCATTTTATTACCTCTGTCAAGGAGGTTATGTTTTCACCCCTGTTTGTCTGTCTGTTTTTCTGTCTGTGTGTCATCAACATAACTCAAAAAGTTATGGACTGATTTTGATGAAATTTTCAGGAACTGTCAGAAGTGGGCCAAGGAACATATGATTAGTTTTTGGTGGTGATCCAGATCAATAATCAATCAATAATCAATAATCAAAATATCAAAAATTTAGGGGTGAAACGGCATTGGATAGAGACTTTGCTGCCTTGGCGGAGGTCTGCGCTCTCTGAGTGCTTTTCTAGTTATTGAATACTACCTACCTCATCTGAGACACATGCCACAACCACCTTGGCCTTTTTCAACCCTTCACTGATGTCTTCAAACAAACCAGTCTGAAAGAGCAGGCATTACAAGAGCAGTTAAAAAAGAGAGGGCACATCAATTGCTAAGATTTACCCCTTACTTTAAGTTTCAGGCATTAAAAAGACAATGCTACTAGTACCCCCTGTAATATGAACATTGTCACTTGCAATTGCCAAATGCCAGTAAAATTGAAGTCCCCCTAAAACTGGGTGTATACTTAGTTACTGGTAACAGTTTTTGCTCTGGGTCCATAGATCTCACCATGTAAAACCCTGGTGACTTGTAAGACCAATGGTCTAAATGGTGTTTGACACAGGCTGTTAGTAGTCTACATAAACCAAGGAGACCTTGAAGTGGCATCAAATTGTACGGTTGAGTATGTTACAACATTGACCATAAAATTAATTCTCCTATAAAGTTTATTTACATTCAACGACATAAAATTATCAAGGTGACAGTCAAATTTGGGTAAAATAGCATATGGAAATATCAGTCAAGTTTGGATAAAATAACATAAGAAAATATCGTAATATAGTAAAGATTTTCTATATTTACCTTTCCAGCTTGCTCAATATCAAGCCAGCACCTCACTCCCTGGGATTCCAGGTAGCTTCTAATTTCACGGGGGTCTCCCTTTTCCCATCCAAGGGCTCCATCCTTTTCGGCGGTGCCTTTCTTCACAGCATCGTGAGAATTGGACCAGCAGTAACTAATGAATACGTCCACAGCATCTTGCTCTTTCTACAATAACAGTTACAAAAACCAGTAAAGATTCCTGTGACAGTCTTAAAATTATATTTTGATCTTCTCCTTTGTAATTTCATGATACTGATTTCTTTTTTAATACTAATTTCTCATCTATATATGTAAGAAAGAGTGCAAGAAGTACCAGTGATTGATTCACTCTTGTATACCTAACTATCTGTAACTTTAAGAAAATACCAGTATATAAATATAAATAAGTTAAATTATCCCTCTTTTAACAAAAATACCACAATCCAAAAATAAAATAGAGGAGGTACAGAAAAATTATGGTAATGGGTACTGGTAATCTAACCATACCCATCCACTAATCATCAGAGGTTTAGCAAACTTGCTATATGTACTGGTAGGTTACCCATACCCATGTATGTTGGAGTGGATTGGCACTTTAAACACAGGAAAAAAATTGTCTTCCAAATTGACTAGGTTTCATCCAATAAAATCAACAAGTCAAAGATGCCTTTTTAAAAATGGCTACATAAAGCTCATTGGACATGCTTTCTATCACAGAAAATGATGACGAACTATGACCTTCAATGATGAAAGATTTTTGTGACACAAAAATCATAATCACACAAATATCAATAATTTTCAAGCATCTTCCTCACCTTCTCTTCTTCTTCCAGTTTTGACTTCAACTTTTCCTTAAGTTCATCTAGCTTTGTATCATAAACATCCTCCTTTGACAAGTCAACAAAGATCTAACAAATACAAAATACCTGGGTTAGCAACTTCCCTATTTTAAATAATATTTTCCAAAATGAATAGATATAATTTCACTCCTACCCAATACCCATTATTTATGCACAAATAAAATGTAAATCACAGCAATTTTTAAGGTCCAGCAAGATGTAATGCACCCTATACAATAGATACGTTGTGCCACAATTTAAGCATGAAAGATTCCAATGCTTCTTTATTCCCTATGCACTTTTAAGTTTCCAATAGTAAAATGCTATATTCTTTTCCATGTGCAGTATTTTTAAAGCTCTTTGACTAGTAGCAGTGTTTAAACTTAAAACTTAATTCTATTTAAACATAAAGCTTTTAATTACATGATTGTATTATTGCATTGCCCTTAAATTTTTTGTTTTTAACTGAAACTCACTGGGTTAGACTTGCCCTTCAAGAAATCGACGGAAAATAGCTCTTTTTCAAATTTGAATGGGCACTGTAGAAAACATAAAACAGCTAAAGCTCTCAAATTATGCACATATGTGTGATATCATGTGAAGAATAAGTTCCGTAAATTTCAATTCAAGCAGTTGGGTATATTTTGAGACAGAACACTTTAAATGTGCAGCAAACCGTAACGCTAATCCCTTCAAGATCTCGACGAAAACCGGAAGTGCGTCATGACGTCACTCGCTTGTACTTGGAAAGCTGCTGGGTGATTTTCCGATGAGAAATATTTCGTGGCTTAGATATCTATACAAATGTTCGGAAAATTACCATGCAGATAAAAGAGAGTTTACTAATCAAAATTGAAACTGCATAATTACATAGAAAAACATTGTGCATTTCTGACCTCGACTTGTCAACTGTAAACAAAGTGTACTGAAGGCATATCGCAAGCAAGCACGTGAATGCCGCGTTTGATACTTTGTATCAGACGCTTCGTTTACTTGACAACACAGTGTTTACGGTGTGCCTGACAGGAAAAACAGTGCAAAAAATTACGCACTTCCGGTTTTCGTCGATTTCTTGAAGGCGTCGATTTCTTGAAGGGCGAGTCTACAATCTCATCAATAAATAAATAAATTATTATTATTATTATTATTATTATTATTAATTACTCTTACTTCTTGGAGTCCAATATTCATGCCCAGTTCACTTTTTGTCCAATCAAAACTTTTGGTAATGGTGACTATGACATACGGTTTCTTCAGCTTCTGGCTGGCATACTGAAAGAGCTCCTTACATTTCTCATCTTCTGCATACTCCTTGGACACCATTGCCAATAGAAGCTGCAAAAAATAAAATGCAAAGGATTAAAATAGTTCAATTTTCATCATGGCAACAATAATATTATGACTCAATTACTTTATTTTTGAGATAGATTTAGAAATGTAATCAATAACTCTTCAATTGAAAGCTGGTGATGAAATACATAATGTCTTCCCTCGTGCATGCACTGAAACAAACTTTTAAGAAATAAAAAAACAAACACAATTATATGTTTTCATCAGGGGAATAAATTACTGCAATACCATTTGAACAATAAATTAAATTTAATTTATCCAAGATAAAGACACCATATGCTGTAGAATATCTTACCTTTGAATCTTTGAGAGGAACAATGAAGTCGCTCAATGTCTTAGTCCCAATATCTTCATCAAACCAACTAAAATTATACAACAGTTGCTAATAATAATAATGCATTGGATAGGCTTCAAAACTGACCACGCCATTGGTAATTATTTAAATATGTCTACAGTGAAATTTTAATTCCTTCAATATCCGTCTGACTTGTATAGTGGCAAAAACATTATTTATAAGCTTCTTCCTTTGTCTCTAGGAATTTAATTTTTTACAACTTAAACATACATCACTCTGGAAACACCCATTATAAAAATGGTTTGTTCAAGGAAGGATAAAACATTAACAACTAGCAAAAAACAAATAGGTCAGTGCCATGTCACAATGGCATCTCATTGACCTATATACTTATAGTGCCCATTATATTGTTCATGTGACAACTATAAAGTAAACGCTATGTACCAGGTGTAGCCCATGTTGTTGATATCTTGAACCACTTTAATGGGATCTGCAGCATTCTCAGTCAGGTTAGCTGCACAGTAGGACACCAAGATGTCAGTGGAGTTGTTCTTTCTCATGTCACGTAACTTCCTGATAGAATTCTCCAGCTGCATGTCCAGGTCACTCTTGCTGTCGGGCGGCATTATGGCTGGAGTCGTGAAAAAAATGCCAGTGGTGTATTATTCAAGGTACCTTGCACACACACACACACACGCACACACACACACACACATGCTCACACGCACATGCAAACACACACACACACAATAATAACCATATCATGATAAAGGTTTTGTTCAGTCTTTGTCTTAATCTTGTAACAAACTAAGGCTGTCTAGGACAACTGTTGGCAGATGATCTGATTATTTTAGCCAGCTGATTGTTTAAATGCTTAAAAATTAGTATGATAATCATTTCTCAAAAAAAAAAATAATAATAATAATAATTTGCCAACCAATTAAGTTAATTTTGCCAACAACATTTACAAAAATACAAAACAATACTAAATCTATCAAATGTAAGGAAAATATGTGGCTTAATGAAAACAAATGAGGCCCTAGCATTTCCGTATGAAGATTTGCTATTAATGGCTATCATACCTTCCAGTTCATTGAGGGAGATGCTGTGGAAGAACCTGTGACACTGCAGGAAAGCTCCAGCATGGTTAGACGCTTGGCGGATCAAGTTGTTGGGGAACAGAAACGGATCATGTGTTCGCTACAATATAAAGTATATGCATTTTGTTACCTCTCTTTTTCATGCTCCAAGTTCTTTATTTTTTAAAATTATATGCAGGCTTGATGGATGTGTGCATATTAACCTTCATTCAGGTTGCTTTTACATAGCTGTAAACTGAGATACAATAATAGAAAAAATAAGGTTATCTTGCTCAGACATCAATGACCACATTACCTGTTTGTTCACACAGTCAGGGCACTGGACAAGGTAGGTGTAAGTGACCCCATGGTAGGCCTCGGCTATCAACCCTTCAAACACCTCGTGAATCAACAGCAACACATTCTCAGGCTCTGGACCTTGAACCTTCACTGACAGTTCATTCTCTCTGGATTATTTTAAAAATACAATAAAATGTTAGACCACCACCTTGTCAACTATTAGACTAAGTGAACTTTCAACATGTTTAGACGTATATCTTGAAAATTTCTGAAAACTGTTTGGTGTATTGAAATTCTACAGTAACTTTATTATAATGGAATGAAGAAAGCTAAATGTTATGTCTGCAGGGATTACCTTGTCTGCTTTATGAGAGCAATATGGGCATTCTTCTTCAGGAATGATCCTTCCTTCCAAATTGCCTTGCCGTCTGTGAACTGGAACAGTCTCACCTGTAGTGACATAATTGTGAAAATAAACTGATAACAAAAGTTAAGAATCAGACCATGTTTGTCATATAGTCACAGTAAAATTAAAATGTTATTAACATGTTTTCGCAAATGTTATAGAATTTCAAAAATATAAGAAAACATTATTAAAGCTTTTTCAAAATGTTTTACCACAATGTTATTTGAAAACATTTAAAAAATGTTTTTCCAAAATTATTTTTTTCTAAAATGCTTTTTTTCTAAAATGTTATTAAAAAATTTTCTTAATGTTTTTCTAAAATGTTATTTGAAAACATCTTTAAAATATTTTTGTAAATCGTTATTTAAAAACATTTTGAAAATGTTTTTCTAAAACATTATTGGAAAACATTTAAAAAATGTTTTTATAAAACATTATTCGCAAACATTTTTTAAATGTTTCTCTAAAACGTTACTTCGAAAATATTTTGATAACTTTTTAAAATGTTTTTCTACAATGTTATATGAAAACATTTTAAAGATGTTTTTCTAAAATGTTGTTTAAAAAACATTTTAAAATGTTTTTCTAAAATGTTATTTAAAAACATTTTTAAAATGTTTTTCTAAAATGTTATTTAAAAACATTTTTAAAATGTTTTTCTAAAATATTTCGATAACTTTTTATTTTTAAAATGTTTTTCTAAAAGGTTATTCGAAAACATTTAAAAATGTTTTTCTAAAATGTTATTTAAAAAACATTTTAAAAATGTTTTTCTAAAATGTTATTTAAAAACATTTTTAAAATGTTTTTCTAAAATATTTCGATAACTTTTTAAAATGTTTTTCTACAATGTTATATGAAAACATTTTAAAGATGTTTTTCTAAAATGTTATTTAAAAACATTTTTAAAATGTTTTTCTAAAACGTTATTTAAAAACATTTTTAAAATGTTTTTCTAAAACGTTATTCGAAAACATTTAAAAATGTTTTTCTAAAATGTTATTTAAAAAACATTTTAAAAATGTTTTTCTAAAATGTTATTTAAAAACATTTTTAAAATGTTTTTCTAAAACATTATTTAAAAACATTTTTAAAATGTTTTTCTAAAACTTTATTAAAAATTTTTTTTAATGTTTTTCTAAAATGTTATTTGAAAACATCTTTAAAATATTTTTGTAAAATGTTATTTGAAAACATTTTGAAAATGTTTTTCTAAAACATTATTCGAAAACATTTAAAAATGTTTTTCTAAAACGTTATTCGAACACATTTTTTAAATGTTTCTCTAAATCGTTACTTCAAAAATATTTCTATAACTTTTTAAAATGTTTTTCTACAATGTTATATGAAAACATTTAAAAATGTTTTTCTAAAATGTTATTTAAAAAACATTTTTAAAATGTTTTTTCTAAAATGTTATTTAAAAACATTTTTAAAATGTTTTTCTAAAACATTATTTAAAAACATATTTTAAATGTGTTTCTAAAACGTTATTCGAAAACATTTAAAAATGTTTTTCTAAAATGTTATTTAAAAAACATTTTAAAAATGTTTTTCTTAAATGTTATTTAAAAACATTTTTAAAATGTTTTTTTAAAACATTATTTAAAAACATTTTAAAAATGTTTTTCTAAAACTTTATTAAAATTTTTTTTAAATGTTTTTCTAAAATGTTATTTGAAAACATCTTTAAAATATTTTTGTAAAATGTTATTTGAAAACATTTTGAAAATGTTTTTCTTAAACATTATCGAAAACATTTAAAAATGTTTTTCTAAAACGTTATTCAAACACATTTTTTAAATGTTTCTCTAAATCGTTACTTCAAAAATATTTCTATAACTTTTTAAAATGTTTTTCTACAATGTTATATGAAAACATTTAAAAATGTTTTTCTAAAATGTTATTTAAAAAACATTTTAAAAATGTTTTTTCTAAAATGTTATTTAAAAACATTTTAAAAATGTTTTTCTAAAACATTATTTCAAAACATTTTAAAAATGTTTTTCTAAAACGTTATTTACAAACATTTTAAAAATGATTTTCTGAAATGTTATTTGATAACTTTTTAAAAATGTTTCTCTAAAACATTCGCAAACATTTTTTTAAAAATTATTATGTTTCAAGAAAAATGTTTTCAAAACATGATAATATGTTGAGAAAACACAGAAAACATTTTAAAAGCATTTTAAAAAATGGTTTTGAATGACCTTTTAGAAAACAATATGAAAACTTTATTATAATGATTCAAGAAAAACTGTAAACAAAAATAGTATCCATTTATAAAATTGTTTGAGGCTGATAAGACAAAACTAATTTTATAAACTAACTTATGAAAACTAAGCTGTCTTCACAAAGCACAAAACTCCAGTCATTTTGTAAAACAGATGTTTGTACCTGTGCCCTGTTGAACAATCCAGTTGGCAAATACGTGAACTGATACAACATCCTGGTCTCTCTGATCCCCGAGTCTGCCTCCAGATCAGGCCAGTCATACTGGAAATATGAAAAATGGTTATTAAAATTAGATTAGTGAATTTGAGGGCGAGGAAAAGAGATTACTGCCCCTGGGTGACAGAAATTGGTGCTGGGACAAAAGTTTAAATTATTTTACTTCAGAACTTTACGTGTTGAGAAGCTTATAATGTCTACACACCTAGTAGCTATTCAGCTTGACAAATTACCAGTTCCTCTGGTGGAAAGAAATTCCTAAATACACTACTTGTGCTAAAAATTTTAAAAGCACACATCAGTTGTACATCTATTACATGTAATATTACTATGCAAGCAAAAATATCCCACACTGAATTTTGTTGATCTATCTAGGAAGTGAGTTTTCATGCATGACTACTCTTTTATGATAAATGAACATGGACTTCATGAAAGACTCTTAATTTTTTAAAACTCTAAAAAAAATACAAAAGTGAATTAATAACTACATAAAAATAAACAAAGAAAAAAAATCAAAATTTGGTCAGTTTAAGACTGACCTTTGGCTCCTCTCCAGGCAGCAGACATGGTACCAGGTTGACCTTCTGATCTGGCAAAGGGAAGGTCAGATCAAACTCCTGGGTCAACATCAGCAGCCACTCGTGATACTCCTTGTCATACGCCTTCCAAATGACACCGATGTCTGAGTGGTTCAGGCGACCGTCCTGAGAGAAGAAGTAGAAATGTAGTAAAATTTTATTTATTTCAATAGTGTAGAAGTCTAAGTGTACTAGAAGTAATGTTTCTGTAAGTGACTCTGGTTAATATTTGTGTCTCTAACTGATTATAAGGACTGTATGTTCATATTGACATTTAGGTATATCTGAGTCATTAAAAAGTATGGAAAGCCGCAATGCAAGTTTTATTAATAATAATTATTTGACTGTAAAATATTGTTAAGTTTTATCATATTAATTTAATTTTAGAATATTTATTGTAATTTTTGTATTCTCTGCTCAGGTTAAAATAAATTATCTCAGTCTCTATCTAGATTGGTCTCACCTTAATGGCATTGGCCTTAATGGACACCACGCATGCCATGACATCAGCAATCCACTGCGGGTTGATGACCACATATTTCCTAAGGAACTCATTGTCAAAATACTGCACTGAGCCTAGGTAGGTCAGGAACTGGATGGCTTCCTTCAGCTGCAAGAACACAGTGATTCACAGTGAATACAAGTCAGGATATAGGATAAAAATGAAAGTCAAAGACTTAGTATTTTTTAAATATGAAGGATAAGAACTTTTTCTAAAAGGTTATTCAAAAGCATTTTTTAATGGTTTTAAAATGATTTCTATGTTTTCTTGAAATATTATCATGTTTTGAAAACATTTTTCATGAAAACATTGTCATAATCCGTATATTGATGGTTATATATTTTGCTGGATCAGGCATGTACACAAAGTGAAATAGTTTCTTACTAACATTACATTTAAAGACAAAGCCTTGAAATAGCATAATAAGAATATTGTTTATGAAAAATCACAATTATTAATAACATTTTGGTAGAGTTGAGGAAACATCATTAGTCAATCATCATTGAAACACAGATCTGTGTCACTGCTCTGAGAATTTCTTAAGTGGTTTGTTTTCAGATTTAAATGCAGTTGCTTAAAAAAAATCTAAAAGTCACAGAAGTCTCTTGTATGAGGAACAAAAGCATAAACATCCTTACATCATCTTCTTCATAAATTCCAACTTCATTTGCCATTGCAGCAATCTCTTCCCACTTAACAATGCTCACTTTCTTCTTCTCCTTCATGCTGTGAAATAAAACAAAATAAAATGACATGAAATCAAAATAAAACATTAAAGCTGTTTACTCAATAACATATTTTAGAGTCAAATGACTGCATATCTCGCTAAAAAAGATAAATAAAGCTAGCAAGGAAACAGTGGCATTCAGACTGAAGATATGTTGGTATTATCTCCGTACAACATGTACTTAATAATTGATAAATTATGCATTTGATGTGTGTGTGGGTGTGTGCATGCATGGGCCTGCGTGTCCTAATAAAGCCTACGTGAGAATAGCGGTCTCCAGTTTCAGCCAGACAGTGGGGATCTGTTCACCCATATATTTCTGTGCCAAAGTCACATCCACCAACCGGTCCTCCAACACACGGATACCCTGACAACACAATAGAATATGGTTTCTTAAATCAGCCTTCACTGTATAATGATCATTATTAAGGTTTAATTCTGCATTATGTTATTTATTCACTTATAATGATTAGTCTATTTTTATGTTAATATCATTGTTTTCTCACATACCTTAGCAGCATAATTTTTTTTTATCTACTGGAAAACAATTCAGTACATAATTTCATTTGAAAAACTCAGCACTTGCTCTATTAACCTTGAAAACACCAACTGACTCTATCAACTTTACACGTACGTTATAACCTAAAAGTATTGACCAAGTAATAAATAGTAACAACCTTGTCCAAACTGCAAAATCTTGAGATTAATTTAATAAATCGCCATAACAGCACCAGGGCTCCGTAACTTAAAAGCACCGCAAATTGCGACTGAGTGCAAGCATGGAGATTTGCCTCTATTCCATAACTCGGGATTTACTCGCCCTATATAATAGCCGCGAATTAAAAAGTGATAAAGCTATTGCAATTAGTGATGCTTTCAATTTAGAGCCCAGATTAACAATTCAGTCTTTCAAATCCAGCTGACCACTTCATATTTCATACCTGTCCAGTGAGAGAGCTGATGAAATGAAAGCCGGCAATTTGGGGGAATTTCTTCTGTAGTTTCTCCATGGGAATTTCTGGCTTATCAACCTGTAGAAGGTAATAAGAATGTTAATCATACTATCAAAGTGAAACAATCTAAAAAACAGTCACTGTGTATCTTTAACAAGTGAATTTTTATGTTAACTCTTCAAATTTCAATCCATCAAAATCAAAACATCTGATTGAGAACTCATTTGAAGCTGTATTAACTTTTAAAAATAAATTAAAATTTACAGATTTAAAGATTCAATATTTGCCTGTGATGTTACCAAAAAGCCCAGCATCCTTATTAGGAAAGAGAAATATCTCCACTATTCAGTGTTTATATCAGACAGAGATTGACACAGTCATACCTCATCTGCTCGCGTCCCGATGACAAAAACAGGTGCTCCAGGAGCGTGGCTGGCGATGGAGCTCAGCCAAAACTCCAGTCCTGCATGTTCGTAGCCAGATCTGGTGGTCCACAGCAGCAGGTACACTGCTCTACTGGACAGGAAAAACTAGGGAAACAGAACACAAAGAATAATGTACAAAATAGTTTAATTTTAGTTTAAACCACATCAGCATCCACTGTGATAATAAATCATGTTTTAACATGGTGAAGATTAACCTGGTCAGATGTGTACAAATAAATTAAATATTTTGTTCACATCAGACTTTTGCCAGGTACAGTGTACATCACATACACTGGTGAACTCTATAACTAATCATCTTGACCCAATACCAAAGTTGATAACACACTGAAGGACAATATTATACAGTCCTATACATTTTGTCCTGTGAGAAGACAAAGATGATATTTCACACCCTTACCACCAGTTGATAATCAACCAAACACCCAAGGCTATCTACCATAAATACTCCCATGTTTTGCACCACAGTGTCTTTGTCCATGTTATGATTGGCTATACACAGTGCAGCTGTTTATGTACAGGTCTGTATGCAGGGGGAGGGGGGGGGTAAAAAAACTGCCTTTTTGGCTGGTAAGGGTCTGTCATAAAAACTTGACATTTGTTTTATTCTACTATTCAAAAGGGGTCAACTAAGAGGGTAAAGAGGTCCACTTTGTCAGAAAAAAACCTCCCTTTCAAATTGCTGTTCAAAAGTATTTTGCTTACTGGCTTATGAAAATTGCTGGCCACAGACTTAAAAAAAAATTTTTGTTTACCAGCTTATTAGGAAACTTTGAAATTGCAGACTAGAGACCTGTGATTTTGTTTCCCAGCTTAAGAAAATGAGTGTCAAATAAGACTGTCACCCACCTGATGTGTGTTGTAGTACACTTTCTGTCCAGCAAAATCCCAAGTGCTGAAGGTCACTTCTGGCCCATCATTCTTCTTCACTGTCCACGCTTTGATGTCAATGCCATCAGTGACTTCTTTGGCACCCAGAGATTTTGTTTTGTAGTTACCACTCATTAAAGCACGCAGCAAACTGAAGTAGACATGTGAAAATTTACCAGTTATCACAGACCTTAAGTGAATTTTAACTGTTTAAGTAGCATAAAATTCAACATCTTTGTCTTTTGTCAATGCCACCTTTTACGTCCTGGCAAGAGAACATTCAGATTTTCAAAAGTTCAACATGAAAGGCCAAATAAAGTCTTACCAAATTTTCCAAATGCTTTCACTTACTGCATTTTCCCAGCTCCTCCCAGTCAAATCTTTAACTCACCTCTTTTTACCAGCTACTCCCTGTACTATGTCTAAGACTGGCCTCCCTCACCTAAGTCAATCTAACAGGATCAATCCATCTCCAAGGGGTTTCTCACTAAATCGCCTTCAGCTTAAGCAGCTTAAATGTCTGGCACGCCTACTTTAGCTACTATACGATAATTAATAACCCCAAAGCAGCTTTAGTAGGCCTGACAGACATCTAACCTGCAGCTTAAGTTCATTACAATTTAGCGAGAATGCCACTGGAGATAGATGCTCCACAGTTAGTATGATAGGGTCTGGGAATGGTCCCTAACTCACCTTGTTTTCCCAGCTCCTCCCAGTCCAACAAACATGAGCTTTGTTCTCCTGCAGACAGTAAAGCCGCCTGCTACACGTTTGAGGAAGCTGATGACAGCGCCTCCTCCTCTGCCCACTATGTCATTTGGAGGACTCTTCAGGGAAGGGCATCCATCCAGCTTCAAGCCTTGACCAACATTATCTGAAGTTGAATACCAATTCATTCAATTTCAGACTTGTAGTCAATAAAATTAATATAATTTAAAAAGCACTCCTTATCAAAAAATGTGAACCTTTTTATCCCATCACTGATCAAAATTGAAAAATGACACAGAATCTAAGACCAAATTTTAATTCAAAACAGGCAAACAGTCAAAACTAACCTCTAATGGGTAAGAAGGCCACTTCTCCTGCAACGCTCTCCAGAAGGGGGTTGTTAGACAACTCCAAGACCCGGAGTCTCTTCAGCTTGGCAATGGTTTGTGGAACAGAGTTTATGCCCTGGTTGGCAAGACGAAGCTCTCTCAAATTTTCCATCTCAAACACGGCTAGAGGGATGCCACTTGAGTCTGCATCTGGATTTATACAATATTTAATTCATTAACAATTGATAAATTATCGTAGGGATTCTTGAAAATAATGGAATCAGATCATGGAAGCTAAAATGATTTTAAGAAAAACCACTAATTTTTCAAAATCTCGCAAAATTAAAACCTGTGATACACAGTTTAGTTTGTAAATACCAACTCCACTGAATTATCACAATGGTTCATTAAAAAATCAGTATGTGACAGAAAGGAACATAGATATGATTATATTATAAAAGGCAATATCAAAGCACAGTAAAACCTTTAAATGTCTGTCCCAATCTTGGTACACTCATGAACAACTCTGTGTTGAGACCAGGTATCTCCTCTTTTACATTCAGTATGTCATTGTTGTCATAGTCATACTTCTTCAACAGCTCATTTGGAGACTGAAAAAAATTGAATAAATTATTTAAAAAGTTGAAATCTGGTTATGTTGAAATGTTGAAAACTTATATCAAGTTTTAGTGAATACTAAAAAGATAAAAGATTGTCAACTGTCTAAGTTATATAAATTTACTTTAAATAGAAAAATTAGTGAAAAAGTGCCATTCATTCAAAAAATCAGGATCATAAAAACATATTTCCTTACTTCAATGCAGGATGTACGGGCAGCAACTTTTGCTACAGAATTTGAGAGTCCAGATGTTTCTGCCTGGCCACACTGCGGGTCCTCGTCCCCTCGCAGCCAGGGGATACCTGGGAAATATGTACTAAGTTTATTATAGGGTAAAACTTAAACAATTGCATCATTGCAAATTGAATTAATATTATGAGAGTTGTGAATCCAAAGATTTATTTAAGATTTGTAAAAGATTTTCATGGTACTTGAAATTGACAATTTTTTTCACAGGGGAAAATAGCTAAAAGGTAAATGTTGCTTACAAATATTATATAATATGCTCTCAAAAGTTCTCACTTTATATAATATTATTTTCTGATTTACAGTTAACATCTTATAATTTTCTCAGTCATAGACAATAAACCTTGGAAAGGTCAATACATTGTGCTTGCAATGAGATATAATAAAGTTTTACAAGTATGTGTCTACTAAATCTCATGTCATTTATGGAAATATGTTGAGAGACCCTCAAAAACCTCATTTCTCACTTGTTTTTATATAATTTCATCTACTAGTAAGAAATGAGACATAACTCGGCTTTTGTTAATAAAATTCTTTTATCTAAAACTTAAACAATTTGAAATCTGTAACAGGTGAATATCTAATCAAAGTGCAAATTAAGAACAAAATAAATGGCAATTCATTCATTTGTTCATTCACTCAAATGGCCACCCAACAAGTCAATAAATCCATGCACAGTTAAGAGAAACACTACCTTTAATGGACAGATACTGAAGTGTTTTCAGTTGTCCAAAGCTCCTTGGCAAAGAGTCCAGTAACAGTTCATCCAGTGACAGGCTGACCAGATATTTCAGCTGATCAATATGACAGCTGGTCAGAGACTGAATGGTCACCATACTATGAGATGCATTGACCTCCCTCACTTTAGGCAGAACTCTGAAAATAATAAAAACATATTGAATATCAAAATAAGGCACAAATGACCTTTTTACTTATTATCATGCTTCCATTAAAATGTCCAAGTTTCTATATTTCACTAAACAAATGAATTACTAATTAGCAAAATAAAAAAGGTTTTTCATAATACTTTTGTCTTTCCTAAGACTAAGCAAACAGTAATCTATTTAATATTCTACATGATTATCTTCTGACTTCTAGAAAACCTTCATAAATATCTACTATAATTCTGCCTGAAAGATGACACTGTTTTCAATTAATATTCAATATCAAATATCTTAATCTTTGGATCATTTACCTGAAGTCTGGCAAAGTCTCTACTAGAGACTCAGAGACATCCACCACTGTCAAGTTTTTACACTCCATAGATGAAACATTCTGGCTTGTTGTGATGAGGCCATTGACACAAAATTTGCCGAGATTTTTCATCTTCCACGTCGCTGGGAGCTGAGTAGTCAATTCCAGATTGCCGTCAGAGTATGTGGATGGCTCAAACCACGATGGCTGACCACAGGTAAGGTACAGCGTGGACAGATCTTCACTTTGTACAGGAATCTTCTCCAGGTCTGTATCTGTTTTTTGCAAAACAACAGCAACAGCATATTCGGTGCCTCGATTTTTATCAAATTTGAACTTTTCCAGATTTTCCCCTTGCTTCAAGCTGACATGAGGACCCTTAACTTCGTCTGGTTTGTCATGAATCTCCCTGCAACCATGGTTGTGATTTTCCATCAAACCAGCTTGCAGGTCTCCATAGGTCTCACTTAATTCCTTGATCCATGGCACTGCACCTTGCCTCTCCGACGTGAAGCCTCCTTTCCAAACATGCCTGCAGATGGCAGCACAAAAGGAGAGATATCTTTCTTGGAAAAGATACTCTATCTGGAATACATTGTAATAAATGATGAGGACTTGCTGTCCTTGAAATGTGGACATATCTTATTCTTTTTAAAAAGATATGCAACCTTTTCAGAAAATTTTATTTCAATAATATCTGAGTAAAATTATTTTGGATTGTGGCAAGGGTCTTATAAATCATTGACAAGTATTTTGCTCCCAATTACTGGTGCCTGCTTATAATACCAGCAATGTATTGATTCAGCAGCTGTGACTGAACAATTAATAGGACAACTATCCATTAGTTAAACTAAGTTTCACAAGATTTAATTTGACATATTCAAAGGATTACAGATTAAAATTCAAAATATATCAAAAGGTCATGATACATATTTCTTGTGTACTAGTACAACAGGAAGTGACTGCACAATACCTTTTCTC